GGGTAGAGCTGTTGTTTTATGTTTTCCTTCGTAGAAAAGTATAACCGGAAAAGATATAAAGAAGAAAAGTTTTCAATTTTCGAATTGGTGATTATGGGTGGAAATTTTTGATACTTGATGCTTTACTTTTTCTATGATTTTTCCTGTTTGATCGTGATGGAGGTAGAGAAGGCTTGAACTATTGGGTTGGTGAAGTGCAATAACAAAGTGTGGCAGTTCATGTATCAAAAGTTGTACCCATCTTAGTCTGATGAAATGAAATTGCACTGTATTTTTTTTATTTTGTTTTGTTTTGTGTGTTTTAAATAAGGAATTTGGTAGTTTGTCATATCGTGTTTTAGTTATTAAGAGTATTAGTCAGCAAGTGCAAGTTGGAATTGGAAGGGAAAGAGAGCAATATAATAAAGTGTTAAGTTTCAGTTATTTTGGAAAGGGAATTGCCAGAGAACCGAGAGAATTGTTTCAAATAAGTTCTTGATTGTACAAATGAGCCTGTACTGAGTGATTGGTCCACAGCTATATTAAGCACCATTGAATTTTGTGAGTTTTATTCTTATAATTCCTTTTATTAATGTTGATTAGATTACAAAATAGTTTAGTTATTTGCAGGTCTTTCGCACTGTTTTTATTGTGGTTTAATGTGATTATCCATAATTAATGCAGAAAATTAGGACTCTGGAGCTAGATGGGAAGATAATTAAGTTTCAAATTGTGAGTTAATTTGACTTAATGACTACTCCATAGTTATGAACATGAGTTAATTTGATCTAATGAATACTGTATCGTTGTGAATTTATAAAAACATGTATATGAATATTATTTTAGCTGTATGTGCTATTCCTTTATGATGGTTTTGCTACCTGTAATATGTGCTTCATGCAAATAAGTATCAGAAAAAGAAATCAACAGCTCTTAGTTACTCTTTTTCTCAAATGATACTACTTGTGTCAAATTGAAATGCTAACAGAAATATTTTATGGCACCTGGATAGTCTTACATAGGTTCAAGTGTAGAAATTAATTTTAAATTATATCTTTACTAATTTCTATGATGTTACGTTCTTCTGCTGATATTTGTTGATAGTTGTGTCTACATACTTTCTGACTGTAGGGAAAATAGCTATATTTGGTGCACACGTCTTATTCGCTAACCAGTCGAGATCAGACTACGGCCTCTTTTCCTTAGAAAAAAAAAAAGGAAATAGTTTATATAATCTAATTTAATTGTCATTCAAAATAGGTCTCATTTTTCATTCAAATACTACATAACCAAACTATAACACTATTACTTACGCTACATCACCTACTATACGTGCAAAGCACGTGCCTTCACTAGTTTGATAAAAGACTTACATAAACCATTTTGTATAGAGACATGTGCAATCGAATGTTCAATCCCTATTGACATACGGTAATCATCGAATGCTTGTGAACTAAATTCACCATCATTATCAAGATGAATTTTCTTAAGTAATCAAGAAACTGAGTTCGTAATTTTATGATTTCAGCAAGAGTCTAGCAACAGCTATATTTTTCTAGTGGAATGCAGTAGACATTGGACCTTCTAGTAAAAGAATCAATTAATATCATAAAATAACAAAATGGTCCACACGGTGGGTATATCGGTTAATATATATCTCCATGAATTCTTTTCAAAAAAGTTGAAAGTTCAATATTGACTTTTGTAGTGTAAGATCCAATGAATAACTTGCCTTATGAACAAGCAACATATGGATAATCATTAGGTAAAATAATTTCTTATTTTTTAGTGGATGTTCATGTGAATTGCTAATTATTCGGTGAATCATTATAGTTTCTGAATTTTCAAGTCGATCATGCCAAAGTAGAAAACATTTTATGTCATTGAACTATGAGATTGTGATGATATTTGATTCGGTCATTCTTATAAATGTATAATACATATTAGATAGGAGAGCATGAAGTTTTTCTACTATCTATTTATGGTCAGATACAAAAAGAAGTTATGCAAAAATATATAATATTATTTTCTTACACCTTCTCAATGTGATTCACTGTAACAAATATCTTTTAAATGAGCAAATTTTTTCTGGATTTGTTAGAGTAAAGTTCATCATCAATATATGTATATTTTTATTATTTGATAAAATAATACAAACTCTTCCTAAGTTTTCAACATATTTGATGCCCTAATATCGTATTAATATTATTTTCTACTAAAGTTAAATTCAAACAATACTTTTTTATGTTGAAGAATAGTGTGCATGATTGCACTATGAACTAATCAAGTGTCTTGGCAATTTATCCTTTCAAGGAATATTGCTTATGATGTGTCATAAAATAGAGAGAAACTAGATAAGTCAATTGACTTGTGTTTATTTTATTGATAACCAAAGCCCCATATTTATATGAAAGAATTAGGAATATAATGATAATAATTAAGAATATATGGGTATAATTGCCATGCACTGATAACTATATTATTTATAGCAAATTTGAAATTATGACTAATTTATAGATTATGCAAATGAAGAACAAATAATTGATAAAATTGGTGACGTGATGTTGGACTCATGAAAACTGCTATGTTGTAGATTTTGTAGTGCATAATCTAACTTAAATTTTAGGGATAATTGCAGCAGTGATTCCTAACATTCTCAATTTTTGTAGACTTTATCTTAACTTTCATTTTGTATTAGTAAAGTTCCCTACCCTTTCATAAACATGCAGTTGGGGTCCATTTGAACCCTAACCTTTATGATAACTGCAGCAATGATCCCTAACATTTCCAAATTTTTTAAACTTTACATTAACCTTCATTTTATCTTATTGAAGGTCTCTACACTTTCATAAATATGCAGTTGGGGTCTATCTAAATGAAAATCGTTTAAAACACCATTAGTTAACCTAAAAATTAAAAATTGGATATTTTGACCATTTAAGGAGGGACTTTTCGTCCAAACAGTATTTTCCCTCATTCACTGTCAAAGTACTGTAAATTTCCCTCAAAATAATTAAAATAAAAATAAAGGAACATGAACTATTCACCTTCTCCACCCCACCCCGCCCTCTACTACCTAACCCACTATACCAAAACCAAATCTAACCTAACCCCCGCCTCCACCTTCTTCTACACCGACCACCCATTGCCGCCAAAGGCAAAATTAAATCCAACCCAACTCACTATACAAAACCAAAACCAAATCCACCCTTCGCAAATATGTTTCTTTTCTGGATTAATTATGTTCCATTGATTTTAGATATAAAGGACAAAGAGTAGTAGAATATGAATAACGCATATATTGTAGTTAAATCTCTTTTGAAGAAATTCATTACTCTATTGTCAATCATTTTGTCTTTTTGGGATTTTTTTTTTCTTGAAAAAAATTTGGTTTGCTCTTATTTTTGTTGAGATTTGTTTGGGAAAAGTGGGGGTTATAAAGGTCCTCTTCATTTAGTGATGACAACGGGCCGGGTTCTTTTGTCCCATTCAAGGCGGGTCCCATCGGGGTGAGGTTTTTTGCCATCCCTATCTTCATTTGGATTGCAACTTGATGAAACAAGAGATAATTGAAGAGGAAAAATGAGTAATATTGGGGATTGAGAGCAAAGGTTGCAGGATTGAGTGACGTCATGAAAGTAGCTTCAACACTGCAAATGGGAAGGGAGGGATATGTTGAAGATGAAGTATTTGGGGTTGATGGTGGGGAAAGGGGATGGGTTATGGGTTTTTTTTTTTTTTTTTTTTTTTTGGTTTTTNNTTTGGGGTTTTTTTTTTTTTTTTTTGTAGGCTTTTAATTACTTTAATTATTAATATATGATTGACGAAAATATCCCTATCAAAATGGTCAAAATACCCCATTCTTAATTTTACAGGTCAACTGACTATGTATTGAATGATCTTTGTCTAGATAGATCCCAGTTGCATATTTGTGAAAAGTTAGGAACCTTTATTGGCACAAAAAGAAAATTAAGTTAAAGTTTGCAAAAATTGAAAAAGGTTACTGTTGCCACAATTTTATACTAGTATGTAATCACGGACCAAATATTTTGTAGATGTTGGAGTCCAAAAATGGAAGATCTCAAGAAATACGGGTAAATCTTGAATTGCATGATGTAAGCGATTAATTGTTTTTGTGCTTATTAAAAGATGATTAATTTTACTAAGCACCAGAAGTATTTCTGGAATAATAAAATTGTGCAGTAATATTGAAATTAGGTTTTAATAGCGGATAGAGGGTGAAATTTCCTCTTTGTTTTTTCCTTCCAATTTGTGTAATCTGCGCCAGCTTTTCTTATTCCACAATTAATGTATTATTTCTGTCAAGGGCTCATTTCTTCCAACTAATGTAATTTAGTTATTGATAAAAATTAATTTGAGCAATCCACGTCCTCTTTAATTCAATTTAAGCCCTTCAATTTCGAAAGAGTGAAAGTTGATCCCCAAAGCAGCAAATTTTATTCAATTTCATATTTATTGATCAATGTTTGCTCTGATCCCGAGTTTTCTCCTAACATAATCCAAAAACACAAATAATTAAGCATCAAATTCACAATAATACTAACAAATGCCCGTTTGGTGGCTTAGATAAGTGTAAATTTTACACTTATCAGGAGTATATAAATAATTTCTATAAAATGAAAAAATTGGGTATAGTAATTAGTTGACGCTGAAGTACATATATTAGCGCGCACATAACAGGGAATCGATGAAAATAACTTCATATTTGTCATCGTGTTAAACACACTTTACGGAATGTCGAATGTCTCTATAATAAATTTTTCAAGAAAATGTGAGAGTCTTTTTCATGAATAAGTTACGAACCAAGAAAGGATTAAACTAATTGGAGAAGGGATACTAGTTTTGGCAAAGAAAAAATATTCAAATTAAAAGACACGGCTATTTCCAAAAGAAGTTAAAAGACAAAATCTTTTAACTCAACCAACTTATGAAATTCAAATTTTGTTTTAATTTCTTCGTTCTATATCATTTCAAGAGCAACGATATAATTTCTTCATTCATACTCCAACATATTTAACTTCATCATTATTCAATATATGCTAGTGCACATTACATAATTAAGACAGCAAACATTATACAACATTACACTCACAAACCACTACTAAATTTACATATTTATTGGCATCATATTCATCCACGAAGTTGTATATATAACGCGTAAATGCTACACTTTGTCGAGCTAGATTCAGCATGGAGGCTTAATTTAAGGTTGTGCATCCCTCATTCCACCAGCATTTTTGCTGCCTCCTCCACCTCCGGAAGAACCTCCTTTTGTATAGCCTGCAGGATAACCTCCACCTCCAGGATAGCCTCCTGGATAGCCTCCAGGATAGCCTCCTGGATATCCTCCAGGATAGCCTCCTGGATAGCCTCCTGGATAGCCAGGCCACCAACCTCCAGGTCCTGGCCAATACTCTTATTAACAAACACATTAACACAATTCATGTTAGCCATTAATACATGTATACTATATTAATTTATGCTCATCATAAAACAAAGTTATAAAATACAGAACTTACGATGATCTGCTGTCGCTTTTGATGTAATCAGAAGAACTACAGCCAAGAAAATGCAAAAAGTAATTGTCTTGGAGCCCATTTTTCTCTCCAAGAATTTTCTTATACTTTTTCTTAATGAGTATTTTGGTGTGTCAAGCCTCTATTTATAGCTAAAATCTGGACAGAAAAGAGAGAGAGAGAGAGAGAGAGAGAGAGAGAGAGAGAGAGAGAGAGAGAGAGAGAAATTTGCTATTTGAGGTAAGTAGAGTATGTCTTGACTTGGTCTACCTTATCCTCAACCTGTCGGGGTTTACTTGTTTTCATTAGGGGGAAATAGAGATGATCATGTAGTGCCGAATTTTGCCAACCGTCGAAATTTAATATCATAAATAAGTTAATGTAACATGATGAAGTGCCTAATTTATTGTCAATATATCCTATAACTTAGTCGAGAATAGTCTGCATAAAAAGGCCTCTTCTATGTGATCTAATACCATATTTTTCTATTTTCTTTTAGTTTATTTCAGAAAATTGGCGCAGATCGTTGTGCTGCGGATTATTTGCACTGCAACTTCATAGGTTAGAGGCCATTTGCGTCAATTATCGGTTTGTTTCTAGTGACCCCAGAAATCAGGTCGTCTGCGGTCGCGTTAGGGTAGGCACAGTAAATAGATTGTCATTTAGCAGATGATATCCATTCAAATGGACAAAAGGTCAGATGGGTCCGAATTCAGTAACTGTTGTTTAAAGCTATTCATATTAAATAAAATAATTTTTTTTTTTTTTAGTAATATTATTTGTAATCACTCACTGTCGTAATCATCCTACGTGACATACATGTGGTGGTTACTAATTTGATACATTAATGTGATATTGTTTTATGTATCAAATCACAAACCAATACATATTTACCATGTACAGCGACTGCGATAATAAACAGCAACTACAAATAGCATTATTCCTTTTTTTTCCCATTTCACAATCAAACTTGAGTGAGATATTTCTAGCACAATTCTCACGGTTTGAAGGTCCACTCTGTTGATAGAGAGTCATGCTTGATTTTGAACCAGTTGCCAGTTAATCTTATCAACAATTATATGGTTCATATACCATGCAATTTACTCATTTCATCCAAAATAGAATATCAAAATAAAATCGATTTCCCAAAGATCGACAACGTCTAAGCGTCCAAAGCTCGACCAAAAGAAAATGATAGGGATTAAATTGATCGAAATTAGAAGTTGTAAAAACTAATGGGACTAAATTAAATTTATTTGGAAGATAATGGTTTAAATAAATTATTAAGGGTTGGAATTAATAATCCATGATTTAACTCAAAATAGGTTCAAGGGCCAAAAACTTCGAAATTAGAATTTTTGGACAACTTCATTCATGATCGAACAGTCAGCTTGAAGACACGATTACGACTTGTAAATTGAGAGTTAACTCTGAATGTTAGCTCATTTTTAAAATTCATTACGAGACCAGCGATTTAATATCAATATTGAATATTTTTCATCTCACCAAATAGCGACAAAACTAATGCCGAAGTTGAACTCGAAATCTGGAATTGCTGAATCTTTTTGTGTTCAACATTTTATGCACACCGGAAAAACAAGAAAGTTTAGATGAAAGTTGAAATTACAAATATTTCAAATTTCACCTTTTCTTTTTCAAAAAGCCGAAAAATCTAAGACAGTTCAAAAATTCTATCTTCTTCATGATTACAAGAAGGGAAATTTTGAAAGAACATGAACTAAGATTCATTAAACAAAAATGAAACCTTTTTGGAAAGAAACGGTAAGAGTAAAGGAAAATGATAAAAACTTATAATCCCTCAGTCCCACAAAGAGAGGCTTCCTTCCATTATTACAAAGATAAAAAAAAATTCTTATTGTTTAAAAAATAAAAATTGATGTTGGTGGACTTCCAATTTTCTTATTTCACCTGTGTTTTTGCTCATTGCTACCACAGCACGTCTGTTAAGGCTGCAATTAAGTAGCGAGAAGAGAAGAGAGGATGATTAAAGAGAGAAAGTGATTCGAATGGGTTTCTGCAATAGAGTGAGAGATTTGCGTGTGTGGGAAATGGGGACAGCTCGTTGGGTGTCAAAAGGGAGAGAAAAAAGAAAATCAAAAAATAACTATTTGCTAACACGTGTCAAAATGACATGTTATGCGATCATAAGCGGGGAAAAAGAGGAGAAAAAAATAAAGGATTAAATTGTAACATTGTCCGCGCAACTGAATTAACTTCAATTTTTGGGTGAGACTTACTAATAAAGTTGGAAGAATCCATATGTACATATTTTAAGTTTACAGAAGTTGCACAAACTCATGTGTGTGGGCTTTACAGTATATAAAATATTCCAAAAATATTGTGGGCCTCAAGAACTGTGAGATTTCTGTACCCATTCTGTATAAAATTTTTCTATACGTGTATAACAGCCCAATAAAGTTTCCTTTTCTTACATTATGGCAGCATGGGTACTTGTCTGCATTTAATACATTTAAGCATTTTGTTACTTTCTTTGTACGTATTGATAGAGCTTGAAGCGTCAACTGACTTGAAGATGAAGTTGAAATTTAAAAAGGTTGAACTTCAACTTTAAGGACCCCCACCGTTCCGTCCTTGGAGTATTATGAGAGAGGTAAATCGAGGGATGTGACTCAACAGACCAGGGAATAAGAACTTGTCTGTACACTGATATCCACAAAGAGTCCAATTCTATATTTCGGGAGTTGAAATTTAAAGTGTATGTGAAGTTGATCATTATAATTTACTCGGGCAAGGACTCGACCCTTTTTCTTTCAAAATTGACACTTATTAAGCCCCCGTTTGTTTTCGATTATTTACTAATTAAAATGAAAAATATAACCATTATTCATCACATCAAGCCACCATATTTGACTTTTTATCTCTTGTGTGGGACCCGTAACGACTATATTTTTCATTCTCATTTTTACATTATTATGTACCAAACAGGGCCTAAACCTTTCTTTTTGAAACCGTATATTTATACTCTTTTCAAATAAATTGGTGAATTATGGTGTTACTGATAGCAAAAAGTCATGTTAAATTCTTCTCATGAACTCTAATTATTGTTTTATTTTTTATTTTTATGATCGTGGGTGTACAGGCCAACTTACACGCACCTCAACTAATTTCACGGGACCCTAAAGTTTACGGCCGGCATAAACTCTAACTATTAGAAGATGCAAGAATGTCTAAAGAACCCAAAGGAGCTCGTAAAATCACTTGAGATGATTTTGCGAATGGGTTTAGTGACTTACGAGATGCTATTCTTTGCCATATTTTATCATTTCTGAACACAAAATATGTGGAGGCCACTCTATACAACTCATCAGATTTAAGGACCTTTTTGTTTCTGTCCTTGACATCCTTCTTGAATTAGTCGTTGCGGTAGAAATTGCAAGGTGTAGTCTTAGACAAATTATGCTACGAAATGTGCCTCAAATCATTTAATTTCGTTTTAAATGCAATTTCACTTTTAATGATTCTGCAATCAAAACTCTAGCATGTGCTGCAATATGGCAAAGTTTTAAACATGTTGATATTTGTGTGAGGTAAAATCACTAGAATATTATCATCTGAATTCTATATCACTGGTTGTCTTGAAGCTAAGAGGGTCTTTGAATTTACACGTCCCATATATGATCTCCTCACCCAATTTAAAGGAGATTCTCTTCGAAGATTTCACATTAGCAAGTGATGATTTAATGAGAAGATTGTTCAAAGTTATAAGCTACTTGAAGATTTGTCGCTATTTGGGTAGAGATTTGAGCATGTTGATGTTCTTTATCTTTCACTCCTTTCCTTCGAAAACTTTCTTTCGATCACAGTTTTGGACACAAGAAACTAAACTTGTAATTGATACATTAGAAGAACTAAAGCCTCTTGCAAGAGCGAATATTTCTTTGCAAATGACTGCGTAAAATCAAGAGAACGTAGATGAGTTTATCAATGGGATGCATGAAATCAAATCAATTTATTTATCATTTGTAATCTAGAGGTAAAAAAACTAAGCTTTATTATCTACTCCACAACGTATTATGAGTATAGAAAAATTTATATTCAAATTACAAATACATCTACTAAACTACCTTTGACTGTGTTTGATCACGTCCAAGTGCAATAGTTATGCTTGCGTCTATCAAACTCTATAGCAGCCCGTTCTAAATAGCTCAGGCACCTATCTATGTTAGTTCGAAAATTTGGGCCCACAAACTGGAACAGTTTTACAAAAATGACGACAATCATTCATGATTTTGATCATCATGAGTATATATATATATATATATTAGGATGGCAAAAAAATTCTATAAAACCCGATATCTGTGAGGTCCCACCCCAAACCAAGCAGGAATTACCCGCTTAATCCGATATTCAAGTCGGGTACGGGACGGGGGATTTCCCTATGTTTAACTTTTTTTATTTTTTTAACGGGGAATTTCGCTCTACTTAAATTTTTTTTTTAAGAATTCAATATTTTAAAAGGAAAGCTCCACGAAATTTTATTAATTCTAATAAAAGATATAAACTAAAATTATCTAAAAAATATGATAAACAATAAAAATCTTAATTTACTAAATATATTCGAATAATTTAACTTTTAAAAATAAACTAATTAATTAAAAATTTTAATAACTATATTATTGTCTTACTTTAATAAATGGGAGCAATAAAATTGATTATAAAAAAAAAAAGACTAAACAAGTATGTAAACGAGACAAGGGCCCAAACCCGCCCCGCCCTACCCCACCTTAAATGCGTAATAGGGTGGGTACGGGCCCTGCCCCGACTTGAATTTGCCCCGTTACCATCCATATTATTTGTTTTATTGCACTTTATATTGTATTAATT